TGAATGCCTCTAGCTTTGCTTGCAATTGTGAACCTGCTCTATGACTGCTTGCTCTGCTGATTACACCCCACTTTGGCTATGGGGGTGTGTCAGAATGTTGTATTTGTCTAGCCTGCAGTGGGGTACTCTATAGAGAGTACAGCCCAATTTAGGGTTTCCTATATGTACTCAACTGCTTGCTAGTGAAACCCCTCTTTCTTGTTCTAAACTTCTGCTCGTACTTCTGACACCCGTGGCTGTTTCTGTTGCCGCTGTCGCTGGCGACGGCTCAACTTCACCCTCTGCCACTGTTGCACAGCCACTGTTGGTGGAGCGGGGACTGGCGGCGGATGAGAGACAGGCAGCGGAAGCGGCGAGGGCGGCACCTCCGGTACCAGTGGCTGGGGCCGTGACAACTGCTGAGGCGGTGCAGGACGGAGGATGGGCCGAGGAGGGTATACCGGCTGATGCTGCGTCAGCCGGAACGTCTGTTGCTGCCGCGGGCGCAGACAGGCAGGGGCGCGACCAGGGGGCGGGCAATACATCGGGCCACGGGACTGGCGCTGCTGCACGCACCGCTCGCGGGAGAGGCGGGAGGAAGGTTCGCGCCCAGCCAGCGCCGAGACGGCCCGGAGCAGGGCTGGGACCGAGCGTTCCGGGGCCCCTCCTGGGCTGGCTTCTGCAAGGGCAGCCGCCACAAGCGACAGAGCAGATGGATCGGCAGACTGAGGCGGCGAGGCCGCAGAGGATCCAGACCGCCGAGACCGCACCGGTGACAGTGGCCCCGACTGTGGCGGGAGGCACAGGCGCAGGAACGGGGGAGGCTGCAATCGGGACGAGACGCTCTGCGAGACTCGGTACGATAACCTGGGGACCACCACGTGGTGGTCGAACGCCCTGGATGCCGGCGGGACGCGGGGGGTTTGGAGCTCCAGGCGGAAACGGCGGCACTACGGCGGCAAATGCGGTGGGAACGGCGCGGGCACAGCGGGGGGGTACACGCAGAGGTTTTCGAGGGGGACGAGGGGGGCGCAACCCACTGGGCAGAACGGATATCCCAGCAAGATCGGGGCCTTGGCGGGAATGCCACGACCGACCGGAATTAGTGGCTGCTGCTGCACCAGCGAATGAGGATCGAGCAGTGTCTGATAATGCTGTTTCTGACCCCGAGTTTATGGGAGAGGAGGAGGTTGAGTCTGAAGAGGTCTCGTTAGACGAGGAGCCGGTTTCGGGGAGAAAGCCAGGAGAGGGGGAGATGGAGCAGCTCCAGCAGCACCAGTCACACAAAATTTGGGAGAGGCAGGCGAGGTCGCCACGGAGGACACAGATGTCCCGTCACCATCCGACCTGGAAGAAACAGACGAAGTGTGGCAGATGGCAGGGGAGTGGAACGTGGACATCCTCCAGAGGGGAGACCAGCCGTTCCTCGTGCGTCGTTTACCACCACTGATATTAGACCGATACTGCCTGTGTCTCCTGGCCGCACTTTTCCGTTTACGGAAATATCCAAACTGCCCAGGTGGCTGGAAGATTCTACACTTCCTTCCACGACTTACCCTCAGACCAGCACCGGAGCCAGTCACAGGAAGCCGATGGGCATGCATCGAGGCTCGACTCCACAAGTTCCAGCGTGGCGATTGGGGTGACCTTTTTGAAGAGGCAGGGGTCATCCCCGCCACAGAGGGCCCGGTACGACACCAAGCTGATGACGAGGGGGTTTGTGCTCGAGCAGAAGGTTTAGTGAAAAAAGGTAACATCTCAAAGGCAGTGTCAGCCCTGCGAACCAGCCCACTCGCAGAACCCACCCCGGCGACCCTGGAAGCCCTACGTGCGAAACACCCTGCACCTGCGTTACCAACCCCTGCCTGGGTAACCGGGATCACCCAGAGCGAACTCAACGTCCCGCTGGACACACTCCGCGAAGTGCTTGCGAAGTGCCCGAACGGAGTTGGGGCGGGTCCTTCGGGCACATGTTTTGAGCACCTCCGAGACCCGGCATTGGCCAACGAAGAGCTGCTCATACTTTTCGCTGAAGTGGTTAACCAGCTGCTTAGTACCTACCAGCCCCAGCACGTGAGAGACCTGCTTCTCCCCTCCCGCCTTATCGCATTAGAGAAGCCTCACGGCGGAGTGAGGCCAATCGCCATTGGAGAAACTATACTACGCGTCACTACAAAAGCAGCCCTGCAGACCCTCGGCCCCAAGATTAGGGACTTTTTTCTCCCAGTCCAGCTAGGCATTGCAGTTCCGGGAGGAGCGGAGTGCGTGATCCATGCGGTCCGCGCGCTACTCCGCGAGGATAAGGCCAGGATAGCACTCCAGCTAGATGTTGCGAATGCTTTTAACAGTGTGGAACGGCCGGCATTTCTGGGGGCGCTGCAGTGGTCAAGCCTAAGCCCGCTCCTCCCACTAGTTCGAAATCTCTACGATGGGCCATCCCGCTTGCTTGTTGACCCACGCGGCACCGACCACATCCTGAGTTCTAGAGGCGTGCGTCAAGGTGATCCTCTGGGCCCGCTCCTCTTCGCGGCGGCTATTCAGCCTACACTCCTGAGCGTCGCCACGACCGTGCCAGAGGTTGCGATAACGGCGTACGCGGACGACATTACCGTGGTCGGCCCGCGGGAAGAAGCCTGCCTAGCTTTCCGTACAATCACGAGCAGGCTAGCGGAGCTTGGGCTGAGCCGCAACATCGCGAAATCATCTGCATGGACCCAATCGGACGGAGATGCCAGCACTGAGCTGCCGGAGGGTCTGTCCGCCAACCCTGGAGGAATACGGGTGCTTGGCAGCCCTATCGGACAGGCCGACTACTGCACAAGCCAGGTCAGGGCTACGCTGGAGGATGCGGTAACCCCGCTCCCGCTCATCACCCAACTGAACCCGCAGCAAGCGCTACTGGTCCTATCCCGCAACATTTCTCGGCGGATTTCGTACCTACTGCGGACGACGCCGGCATCGGCTCTAAGTACGGGGGAATGGAGGGAGTGGAGTGAAGGTTTGGTGGGGTCAGCACTCACGGCGGCGAAGCTCCGCATACCCACGTCGGAGCTAGAGCAGAGCCTCCTCTGGCGGCAAGCGACGCTACCGATCAGGCTAGGCGGCCTGGGAATCATCGACCCATGCTCGGAGGCCCCTGCCGCCTACATCGCCTCGGTCGCGGCCGCCCATTCCCTACTGTTGCAGCTGAACCTACCCACGGACTGCCTGCTCCACCATGCAACTACTCTGCTCACCCATGAGTGGTCCCCACCGCCCCCGGGAAGTAACCCTCTTACCTCCTTAGAGGCAAGCCTCCCAGCCTTAGCACAGTCGGCGCTGGGTCAGTATAGGACGGAGAACACAGGCACGGGTAGTTTGCAGCTGCGCCTATCTAAGTTCATCAATCAGCAGCGGGCCATAGACCTCCTTGGCGACACAGTGGTGGACCGCCCCGGGACCAACAGGGGGCATGCGATCAGACTCATCAGCTTGAAAGGAGCGGGAGCAGGTGACTGCCTCCATGCCGTGCCGACGAGAGCCGACCTTAGCATCTCCCCTGGTCAGTTCTCGTTAGCCTTAGGCCTCCGCCTAGGCATGGAGCTCCCAGTCGCTGAGGTCTGCCCATACAAGCGAAGAGGCTCTGCGATCCTGGACAAAAGTCTGCCGAACCATCTTCTTCGTTGCCAGGACGGTGGGGATGCGGTCAGGACCCACAACGCACTTGTCTACGCGACGCTGCAGATGGCGAATGAAGCGGGTTTCAAGGTGTTCCACGAGACCACCGCTTTCTCACTCCCTGTCCTTAGGAAGAGAGCAGACCTGGCCATCCGGGACCAGGAATCGGGGGAGACTTGGGTGACGGATGTCACCGTGACTGATCCAGTGCTGCAGAGCAGGGACTCTAGAGCACGTAGGCCGTCGGGGTGGGCGGCAGAGGAGGCCTCACAGAGGAAACACCGGGAGTATGAGGGGTGCCCCAGCTACGCCGGCTTCTTTGGGCTGGCAGTTGAGACTTACGGCGTGATGGCGGCCGACACGCTTCAGTTCCTGCGCATGTTGGCCACCAGTGCGGCCAGGAAGAAATTCAGACACGGCAGACTTACCACCACAGCAGCCAGGCTCAACGCTCATTACCGTCAGCGGTGGTCGGTGATGCTGCAGCGAAGCCAGGCCTTCTCCCTCCTGTCCAAGTCTAACCGCGCGGCAGAAGCAGCCCTCCCACAGGCGGCAGCAGACCCATGGGCACCATGGCTTGGGGACCTGTGGCAGATGACAACAGACGAGTATGAGGAGCGGGAAGCCCCTGCCAGAGTGGCTTAGAGGGGCAAGAGAGAAAGGAGGGTGACAGAAGGAGGGTGAGAGTACGAGGCAGGGAGAGGGCAGGGGCACTGCGGTAGGATGGGAGGTGTTCAGGGACAGGGGTGGCTACTACTTTGATCGGTCTGTTCAGTGCTTAGGGACTGGGGTTTACACACGAGGCATGCTATCCAGACACTGCGGCACGGCGACACTTCAACGCCGACCCTCACTCCTATCAAGCCGCCAAGTTTCTGCACCAGTTTCGGCAACGGTGGTCAGTCGCCCTCCAGAGGGCCCAGTCGGTGGGGTACCTCATTAAGTCCAGCTTGGCAGCGGCGGCAGAGAACCCGCCTGTTGGGGGAATCAACAGTGAGCTGTCCCTGGGGGACTGCTTTGTTGTACTAGAGCCCTTTGCTGAAAATGAGTAGTGGGTGCCGGGGCGGGGGGGGGGGGGGGAGGGAGGGTAGGTAATTGGGTGCTTGTTTGTTTGTTTGGTTGTTTGGTTTAGTTGTCTCGGTTTTTATCGTAGTTTCTGTACCTTGCTTGCTTGTCTGTACCCCTTTTGGCTATATCAATACACGGACCATTAGAGAGAGAAGGATATGCAAGCTACCCCGGATCTATCCTGAGCTCTACCTTCACCTGCTTGCTTCCCTTCGCTGGGCGGCGGGTGGCAGAAGAGGACGAGAAGAAGAGTCACCACTGCAGCCAGCAGGGTAACCCCCCCAACCACGATGCCAATGACAGCTCCCGTGGATAAGGTTCCTGTATGCATGTCGACATGGCGGCAAGGGGTGCACAGCGGTATGGCGGCATGGGAGCATGGCGACATGGCGGCATGGCGGTATGGGATGACGGCATGGCGGCATGGCGGCATGGGATGCATGGCGGCATGGCAGCATGGGATGCATGGCGGCATGGGATGCATGGCGGCATGGCGGCATGGGATGCATGGTGGTATGGGATGCATGGCCGGAATGGGTCATGGGAAGGGATGGTGGGGTTTGGAACGCAGTCAGCTGGACTTTGAGAGCGCCTGCGCAGAGTGCATAGCAGAGCTCAGGAGACCAACCCGAGGTCAAATCCTGCAAGGTGGACTCGAAAGGCAGTGCCCTAGTAGGTGGTAGCTGGTGAGGAGGTGAGCGATGAGGGGAGGGAGGGTGCCTTACTAGGGGAAGAAGAGCCTGACTGGTTGGCAGTGGAGTTGGATGGCGTTGCTTCCTGCGGCTGTGGCGGTGGCTGTGCCTGCGGCTGTGGCGGTGGCGGTGGCGGTGGCGGTGGCTGCGGCGTTGCTTGTGAGCCGGGCGCGGGCGCTGAGCCTGAAGGTGGAGCTGGGGAAGGTGGCGCAGGTTTGGATGCCGGGGCAGGCTTGGAAGGTGGAGCAAGGGAAGGTGGCGCAGGTTCGGATGCTGGCGCAGGCTTGGAAGGTGGAGCTGGGGAAGGTGGCGCAGGCTCGGATGCTGGTGCAGGCTTGGAAGGTGCACTTGGGGAAGGTGGCGCAGGCTCGGATGCTGGCGCAGGCTTGGAAGGTGGAGCTGGGGAAGGTGGCGCAGGTTCGGACGCTGGCGCAGGCTTGGAAGGTGGAGCTGGGGAAGGTGGCGCAGGTTCGGACGCTGGCGCAGGCTTGGAAGGTGGAGCTGGGGAAGGTGGCGCAGGTTCGGACGCTGGCGCAGGCTTGGATGGTGGAGCTGGGGAAGGTGGCGCAGGTTCGGACGCTGGTGCAGGATTGGAAGGTGGAGCGCCGGAAGGTGGGGCTGGGGGGCTCGGCAGAGAGGGCGGAGCAGGCGAAGTAGGGGGAGGCGGAGGAGGCGAACGCGGAGCACGCGTGACAGGCGGATCAGGCGAAGTAGGGGAAGGCGGAGGAGGCGAACGCGGAGCACGCGGGATGGGAGAAGGTCTCGGACGGCGGAGGCGCGGTGCGCGCGCGCATCCCAAAAATGTTCGGGCCAAAACCTCCCCCCCAGGTTACCCACAGCTTACCCCGTGGCGGGTGACCCCGGGGTCCTTGTCTAGGTAACCTGCGGGTAACCTCGGCAAAAACCACTTCGCGTGGTGACCCCGAGGTCACCCACAGGTGGTGACCCACAGGAAACCGCTCCCAACATGTGGGAGCGAATCATACGCGAGCCGCTTCCTCGCTATGGAATACATCGCCATCATTAAAAGTTGCACCTACAGTACACGAAAGACCATACAGTTTATTGACCAACATGTTATACGTAAAATAATTTTATTGTTATGGGCACAATTGAAATTGATAGTAATCAAATTATACGTGTTACGCCTATTTTCATTTAGCGTTTGCAGATTTATGGGATTACCTTTCACAGACTGCAATATTAGCAATTCCACTATTCAATCATGTACGAATTGGAAGTGCGACAATACAGGAACTATCAACAATTGCACAGATATCTCAGAAAGTGAATGCAACGGAATGTTTGACTTAGGAGAGCAAGGCATACAAATAGAAACCCTAAGAGTGTTGTACTCCTTAGAGTGCTACTCACTGCAGCCTACAACCAATAACAACATTTGACACACCCCCGTAGGCTAAGTGAGGGGCATCAAAGCAAGCATGGTGAACAAACAGTCACAAGACCAGTCAAAGCAAGAAACAAGGCAAGCTCAGGGTGGATCTCAAGGACACCACACAAATTCCGAGCGCAAGCAAGCGGCCACAAGGCCAGTTCAAGAGTTCACTAGGATATATATATGAAAACACAACAAGCAGAGCAAGCAACAAGACTACAGCAACCGAGGGCCTACCTCAACAAGCCCCAACTGCACACAAAACCTGTGGTGATCACCAAGCGCCAAGGCCTTGGTGAAGACGTCTGCAGTGTTGGCCTCTGAGGCCACAAAGTCCAGGCGTGCCTGGCCGCGTCGCTGCAGCTCTCGCAGGAGGAAGTACCTCACGTCAATATGTTTCACTCTGCTCTCCAGTCGAGGCTCTCGACACAGGAGGATCATGGCCTTGTTGTCAGCGTACAAGGTCGGTGCAGAGCGAGGCCGCTCACCAAGGTCGGCGAGCAAGAAGGTCAACCAGCGAAGCTCCTGTGCCGCCATGGCACCAGCGTAGATCTCTGCCTCTGCACTGGAAGTAGCCACAGACGACGACCGTGTAGACCTCCACGACACAGCACCAGCTCCCAGACTGAAGCAGTAACCCTGAGTCGAGCGCTGAGTCTCCACGTCGTCAGCGTAGGAAGAGTCGCAGTGACCAGTCAACGCCACTGGCTGAGTCCCTCCAAGCACAAGCCCCATGCCTGATGTAGTCGCCAGGTACTTCGCCACCCTCACAGCAGCTGTCCAGTGGACAGGACGGTGTCTCCCAGTCGCAACAAAGCGAGAGAGGACGCTGAGGGGAAAGGCGAGGTCCGGCCGAGTACAAGTCATCAGGTACATGAGGCAGCCCACCAGCTCTGCGTAGGGACCACTGGGCTCAAAAGGCTCGTCGGGAAAGGGGCCAGTGAGTCTGTGGTCAACAGCAAGAGGTGTGGGCTGTGTGGTGGAGAACTGGAAGTCGAACCGCCGAAGGACCTGCTGCACCATGTGTGACTGCGTCAGTGTGATGGTGCGAGCGGCTCTGTCCCTGGTGATCTGCAGGCCAAGGTAGCGCTGCAGTTCACCTAGGTCAGTGCACGTGTGTCTCTTCTGCAGCTCGGACTTCACCTGAGCCAGAGCTGCCCTGTCTGCTGTGGCAAAGACCAAGTCGTCGACGTACACTAGTATAAAGAAAGGAGTGGAACCAGTGCGAACAAACAGCGACGGGTCGGCAGAGGAAGGACAAAACCCAAGGTCACGAAGCGTGGAGCGAAGAGTGTCGTGCCACTCACGGGGCGACTGGCGGAGACCGTAGACTGGCCGTCTCAGGCTCCACTGGGTCCCAGGTGGGAAGGTGTCAGTGAAGCCAGGAGGGCGGCGCAGCCAGATCTCCTCGTGTAGTCGGCCCTGGAGAAACGCAGTAGAGAAGTCAAGGGAGTGCAGCTCGTAGTCTCGCTGTGCTGCTACGTGCAGTAACACCCGAAGAGTAGTCATCTTCGGGGTCGGGGCGAAGGTCTGGAAGAAGTCAACTCCCTCACGCTGACTGAAACCCCTAGCCACGTAGCGCGCCTTGAACACAGGCAGTGAACCAGGCGGCCACTTCACCTTGAAGAGCCACATGCCATCGACTACGTTCGCCCTGGGAGGGGGAACTGCGTCGACGTAGGTGCCTGTGGATCTCCAAGACGCTAACTCCGAGGCCATAGCCGCTTTCCACTGTGAGGCCCACGCCCCTGACACTGCCTCGCGGTAAGTGCGAGGAGTCGGTATGTCAAGGGCGTCGGGGTCTCCCTCAGGGGATAGCAGCATGGCACAGACAGAGGGAGAAGCGGCTGCCCAGTACTCCAGCTCAGACTCTCTGTCCTCTAGGACGTCACAGCCAAGGGAAAACCCACCCCCGACGGACAGAGGACGGGAGGGAGGAGCTGGCACCACACGGGTGGTCTAGTCAAGGCGACTGGCAGCAGCAAACTCAGCGACAGCGGCAGTGAGAGCCGAGACAGACGACGGAGGGAAACGAGAGTCGGTGACAAGAGTGGCGAGGACACGAGAGACAACAGGACGAACAGCGCGGTAGTAGTCAGTGACAGGAGTAGGGGGGAAAGGGAGAGAGGACGGAGGTGGACACGGGAGAACGGACTTAGGAGGAGGACGACGAAGAGACGAACAAAGGAGGGCAGTGCGGAGGTCGGTAACGGGAGACGAGGGACGAGCACGCGGAGGACAGGGACGGACACGAGAGTGCGGGACACCAGGTGGAGGAGACTGCGGTGGAGGAGAAGACCAGACCGCCGGACTGGCGTCAGGAGGAGAAAACGTGGGACCAAACGCTGGAGGAGACGGAGTGTGAACAGGAGGAGAGGAGGGAAGACCAAGGGCCCGAAGGCCACTCACGGGTGGGAACAACTGCCGCTCCAGAGGGAGCTGCTGTGGTCGCAGCTGCGGCGGCGGTGTCTGCTGCTGCTGCGGCTGCTGCTGCTGCCGCCGCCGCTGCTGCTGCTGCTGCTGCTGCTGCTGCTGCTGCTGCTGCTGCTGCTGCTCCAGCAGGTCCAACTGCCGCAACTCCTGCCGCTCCCTCTCCAACAGCACCTGCTCCTCACGCTCACGCCGACGGGCCGCCTGGAGACGTGTGTCGTGGCGGTGAGGAGGCGGAGTGGACTCCGCAGAACCAGTGTCTCCTGCTCCAGTCTCCTTAGAACTAGCACCTCCAGTGCCAGCGCCTCCAGCACTAGCACCCCCTGTACTAGTACCGCCAGTGCCAGGACCTCCAACTCCAGCACCCCCAGAACTAGCACCTCCAGTGCCAGCACCTCCAGCTCCAGCACCCCCAGAGCTAGCGCCACCTGCGCCAGCACCTCCAGCTCCAGCACCCCCAGGACTAGCACCTCCAGTGCCTGGACCTCCAGCTCCAGCACCCCCAGTACTAGCGCCACCTGCGCTAGCACCTCCAACTCCAGCACCCCTCAAACGAGCACCCCCGGACCGAGTACCGCCAGTGGCTGCACCTCCCGCTCCAAAACCAACCGAGTCCACAGTAGCCTGTCGCGGAAGTACCGAAGGCTGCGGAGGGGACTGTGAGGAGGACTGCGGGGAGGGAGCCGCTGCCTGACGCGCGACCAAGGGTAGAGGGGTAGCGTGAGACACACCTGACGGGGCAGGACCAGGGGGGGGTGGGAGGGTGCGGGAGCAGGGGGAAGAGAGGGTGCGAGGAAAAGGGGGGGAAGGGGAACCGGGAGACCTCGACAGGGGTACCTGGTGTAGTAGGACACAGACTCGTCGAACCGGACGTCACGGGAGTCTAGGAACTGGTGGAGGGGCGGGTGGTAAAAGGACCAGTCGGCCGAGGCTACCGGGAAACCAAGGAAGACACAGGGGACGGCGCGAGCCGAGAGCTTGTCCGCAGAGGTGTCGCGGACAAGCGCAAGGCAGCCCCAGACTCGAAAAGCTGACCCAACACCAGGGGACCCGGTCCAAAGACTGGTCGGTGAAGCCTCTGGCCGTGAGACGCGCGGCTGGAGGTTCAGCTGGTGAGCGGCGTAGCGAACCGCGTAGGGCCACAGAAAATGGGGCGCACAGGCATGAATCATGGACGTGCGGGCGATGTCCATGACCAAGCCAATGCGGCGCTCAGCAACCCCATTCTGCTGTGGGGACTCCGGCAGCGTCCAGGACTGTACAATGCCCTGCTCGCCGCAGAATCCGGCAAGAATGCCTGAGCGAAACTCACCCCCACGGTCAGAGTGGAGACAGGAGACACGACGGCCACGAGTGCCCTCAGTGGCTAGAAGCCAGCGGATCAGCGTAGAAGTCACCTCGGACTTCTTCGCGAGAGGAAACACCGTGGTGTACCTGGAGAAGTCGTCGACGACCACCAAAAAGTAGCGCTCCCTCTCAGGTCCCTGCGTAGGTGCAGGGCCCCAGACATCCAAGTGGAGTGTCTGGAAGGGAGCAGTGGCCGGACGAAGGGAGGAGGAGTGCGGAGTGGCACGAAGACGGTCGGCGACGCAAGGAGTGCACGGTGGCGCAGGCGAGGGAGGGAGCGACGGGAAGACGTGAGGGAGACCTGAGACAAGACGGTGACTAGCCATAGTGCGGAGGCGGGGGATCGACGCGTGGCCAAGACGGTGGTGCCACAAGACGGTCCGGTGGGTGAAAGACCGGCACGAGCAAGATGCAGCAACTAGACCGGACACAGCAACCTGACCGGACACAGCAACCTGACCGGACACAGCAACCGGTGGGGACG